TTATATTATTAAAAGTTATTATATTTAAGATTTAAATCTAATATTCTTATTTATAATCTTAATTATAAATAAACTTTTTATTCTTTCTTTAATATATTATAATTTAATACCTTAAATATATTTTTATTTTATAACTTAAATACTATAATAAATAAATTTAACTCCTTAGTACTTTAAATATACTATATAACTTTATACTTTTATTTATTAATTATTATAGTAGTAAGTTACTATATAAGTATAATAAGTACTTCCTTTAATAAAGTTAGAATATTTAATTTATTCCTAGTATCTTCTTATCTTTTTAATAATTTTTTACTACTTTCTTTCCTTATATTATCTCTATTTTACTACTCTCTTCTCTACTTATATTTTTCTCTAAATATCTATTATTTCTTCCTCTTTTTTCTTCTATATTTCTTACTACTATCTCTATTTTTTTACCCTTCTTTTTATATCTACCCTCTCCCTCTTTTATTATTATTAGTCTTTTTTAAGTTATATTTTATTTTAAATAACTTATATCTTTTTATTATTACTAAAGTTTATAATATTAACCTTTACTTTTATTATTTTTAATAGAGTTTATTTTATTTTTATTTTTATTAACTTTTAAAATAATTATTACTTTTATATCTTTTTTAATTCTTTTTCTTACCTTTTTTATCCTTATATATTTTCTTCTTTTACTTTTTTACCTTTTTATATATAAATAATAATAACTATATTATCTAATTATTCTTTTATATTTTAATTACTTTTTATAATTAAAATACTATTTAAATTCTTAATTTCCTATTTTAATTATAAAATAACTACCTATAGTTTAATAATTAATATATTAAGGATATTCTTTATAATTTATTATTATATAATATATTCTTATTTAAACTTTTAAAGTGCGGTGATTTATATTATATTACTTAATATATTTAATTATAATATAAAAGTAATAGGTAAATATAATATTTAATTAGTTTAAAAAGTATAACTTATTATAAATAAGTAAATAAAATTATATATTTAATATATATTTTTATTCTTTAATATTTTATAAGTTTATTTAAATTTAAATTAATTAATATAAATATTAAATTTATATATATTAATAAATATAATAAGATTAAAACTTAATATATTATTTAAAAGTTTTAATAGTATTATATTTAATATTTTAATTTAAATAAAATTTAAATATTAACTATTTATAAACTTTAATAATTAAATCTAACTTAGTAATCTACCTACTTTAAGGATTATATAATAATCTTTAATAATTAATAATAAAGCTATAATTTAATATCTAGCTACTTTTAAAGTATTAATTATTAAAACTATAATTTAAACCTTATAATATAATAATAGATACTAGAATATAATAATACTATAAATATAACTTATTATTAATTATATAATATTTATTAATAAAGATTAAAAAGAAAGTGAAGCACTTTAATCTAACTAATTACGTTCACTATAAATATCGCGATAAAGAACTAAAAAGCTTTTAAAATTATATAATAAAAATAAAAAGGTAGTTTTAATTATCTTAAAAAATATCTTAAACTCACTACTAAAGGTATATATACTTTAAAATATTTAATTTTAAATATACTAAGATTATTTTTAAGAGTTACACCCTAAATAGACGTATAGCTCCATATATAACAATTAATAGTAATAAAGAAACCTATATTTCTAAATTTTAACATATATCTAACTCTTTTTATAATACTATATATAATATAATATACATTTATACCTTAAAAATAAAGGTTTCTATAATAAGGTAATATTATATTATAAAGTAAGTAGAAAAGTAAGTAGAATAATACTATTTTATTTAATTAATTACTATAAAGTATAGGTTTTAATATATTAACTTATTAAAGGTCTATATATTATTAGTGTGTAGCTAGTTTATATACACTTTTAAAGATAAGTTAATTAGAAATTTCTACTTAAAATATCATTACTATCTCTCTATTAATATTTTTAATAAATATATACTTATAAGTCTCTATTTATTAGTTATTAAATTATTTAAAAATCCTTTAATATATCACACTTCCTTCTATTAAACATTTATAATAATAACTAAAAAATATATATCTTTAAACTCTATATAACATTTTTACATCCTAACTTTTACTAGGAATATAAGTAACTCGCTATTACCTATTTAAGTAAATATTTTATTAGAGAAAGTAGTTATAATAGTTTAAAATAACTTACTATTAACTATTAAAAGAAATAAGAAACTAGATATAACGCTTAAACTATAATAAAAAATACTTTTTTTCATTTAATATAGAAAAATAAACTTATTAAATTTAAATTTAAGCTGTTTTTAAGTTAAAATATACTTTTATATAAAGGGTTAATCCTCTCCTTTAATACTTTTAAATAAACTATTTTTAAACCTTTAATATATATAAGTTACTTTTTATAAAACTTATAAAGATTAATATATAAAATATAAAATATATATATAAAAGGAATTAATTATAACTATTATTTATTATATAACGTACTTTTATTATATAAAATATTTATATAAGAATACTATATATATATATTAAACTTTTATATATAACTTATTAATAGTAAAAAATTAATTTAAATAAATATATTAATATAATTAAATAAAATAAAGAATTATTATAATATAAGTGTAAGTAAGGTAGTTTAATAAAATAAAAGTATAATAAAATATAATATAAATTTATTTATAAACTCTATACTTATTTTAATATTCTATTATAATCTTATAATAATAAAAGTAACTCTTTACACTCTTATACTTACCTTCTACTTAACTTATACACTATTTAAAGAAGCACTTAAATAGCGTCTAAGTATAATCACTAATATACTACTCTCTCTTTATAAACCCCTTAAGTTCACTAAAATACTCCTCTATTAAATTAAAGTTTAATAAGTATAATAAGAGAAAGAGGAGCTTCGCACCTATAGTAAAATATATTTCCTTTATCTTTTATTCTTTATAAAAGCTTATATTATTTATTATTAAAATAAACTTTAATTATAAAAACTTTCTATAATAATAAAGTAGCTACTTAATAAAATTCTTAAATATAATATAGTTAATTAAACTTTTAAAGATATATAAAAGTATAACTTTATTTTAAGTATATATTAAAATAAATTAATATTTAACTTTATACTTAAAATCTATAATATAAATAAGTATAATACTTATAAAAGTTTATTCTATTTATTATTATACTATTAAAAGTTATATTTAAACTTATTAATAAAAATTAAATAATATAATTTATATTTTAATAGCTTATAATAATATAAATACTATAAGATTAAGGTTCTCTATCTAATAACGTAATATATTACTTTTAAACTATTTTTAAACTATAAAGCCTAAGTAATATTATTAATTAATACTTTAACTTTATATTTATTTTTAAAAAGAGATTATCTTATTCTAATATAGTTATAACTTATTAACTAGCTTATAATATAGTATATTAAGTATAAATAATCTAATACTTAATTATTAATTAATTCTATTTAATAGTACTTATATAGTTTTAAATTAATAGAAATTAATATATATATATTAAACTATATATCTATTATACTTAACTTTAATAATTATTTTTTAAGTTAATATTTTATAAAAAAATAAAGTTAGAATCTTTTTATATTTAAACTTTAGTAGATAAAGTACTATTAAAAAGTTTTATACTATTATATACTTAGCTATATAAGTAGGAAATATAAAGGAAAGGAGAACTTTAAGGAATGGTAAAAGTAGGGAGTATTAAGGTACCTAAAAGCGGATATTTATTCCTATACTACCTATTAGTTTAATTATAGTAAAGCTACATCTAGCTTATAGTATATATATTATACTAGCTATATATAGTGCTTTAGTTAGTGCTTACTCTTCTTTTTATAAATAAACTTAAGTGGACACTTGTTTTAGTCTACTCTAAGAGTGGACTGAAATGAGTGTCTGCTTCTTATAATGTGTAAAATCATTTACTAGCTGATTTAGGACTAGACGTAGCTGTACACACAGTATATAATGCCCGTCCGCACGCGCGAATTAAGTTCCCTACTTTAGAGGTATGGACCCATTATGCACGGCTACCTCGTACGACTCTAGACTAATTAACGCTGAGATATAAAGTTTGATATTGGGAACTCTCTGATACAGCCTTATGTTACCGGCTTTTAAGTCTTCGTAGATTATTTCTAGGTGAAAGAGATAGGATTCCTAGAAGTTGTTAGGCCCTATTCTATTTGTGATCTTCTTGAAAGACTCATCATCGAACACCCATTCCCTCAGATCGTCGTTGGAGAGGCGCATTTCCCCGTATTAAGCATCGAATTTGTACAAGGCTTCTAATCCTGCACGATTGACCTCATTACCGACGACGACAAAAAAAAAAGAAGTATACAGTATATCTTTCGCATCTACGCCTTCGATTTCTGTAAGTCCCCAGGAATTGGTCAAGGCCGAGGATGGTGCGGAATGCCGCGCTAAGCCCCGGCGCCATCACGGAAATGCCTATCAGCGTCAACGCGTGATGATATCATCAGTAGGGGGCACTGAATGAAAGTGATAGCGCTTGGACTTGGTCACAGACACAGTATTGGACTAACTAGTCCATAAGCAACAAGGGCGTTCGTGACGGATTTGGCCATGCATAACCATTTTGTCTATGTCTTGTGCCTGTTTAGATACAGTCTGTCAGCTGTTAGTAGTCTCTGGTCTCCGCATGTGCAGCGCTATTCCCTGTCCGGCGATGTCCATAATTCCAACCATTGTGCATGAAAGGTTTAAAGAAGCCGAAAAATCGATAATTAGAAAAAGGCATGCTCCAAGCTTCTCAAGGCCGTCAAGCCGGCATTTCAAACAAGAAAATCATGATTTTCATCCGCCATTCCCTCTTCAACATTACGATCTACCTTGCCGGAGATACAATCGAGATATCCTCACAGCCGTCACAACCATGGCTGTCAATCTCTGTAATGAGGCCATACTCACCAAAATAGACAAGCTAAGAGGGCTCAACATCGGATCCATCGTCCCTCTACCACAGGTAGTCTTTATCCTACAATGGGATGTCAAGTCATGAGGAAAGGCTAACTTGGAAGTAGCTTGTTGTCGTTGGCGATCAATCATCTGGGAAAAGCTCTGTGCTTGAGAGCCTGACTGGCTTCAACTTTCCACGAGCTGCTGGGCTCTGCACGCGCTATGCGACACAGATCACCTGCCACCGAGCGTCGGACAAGAGCGTTGCCATTTCAATAATCCCCCGGCCCCACGCTGATGAGAATCTGAAAACGCGGCTTCGCAATTTCGGATGCCGATTTGATGCAGAACTTGACCAGGAAAGATTTGCTCAGACTTTTCGAGAGGCCGACCTCGCAATGGGCATTCGTAAGAATGCGGGAGACAATGGAAATGACCTAATTACTTTTAGCGAGGATATTCTTAAAATTGAAATATGCGGGCCTGATGTGGGTGCTTGACCCAAACCTTAGCCACTGGACTAACAGGTTGGTAGCAAAACCATCTGACAGTCATCGATGTTCCCGGGATTTTCCGCGTTCCAACACCAGGTGATGTTTCATTCTCCGACGAAGATGGATGAATATACACTAACTCATGACAGGTTTTACCACTGAAAATGATGCCATGCTGGTCCAGAGTATGGTAAAGGCATACATGAACAACCGCAGAACGATGCAAGCCACTTCGCATGCTTCCTAGCCAAGAACAACCAACTAATTTTCACCGTAGCATTCTTGCGGTCTTGCCGTGCAATGTAGACATACAGACACAGGAGGTTATCAAGCTTGCCAAAACGGCCGACCCACAGGGAACTAGAACCATGGGTGTTTTAACCAAGCCGGACCTCGCTTCTGAGAAGACCACTCAGGAGGCCGTCATTGAACTGGTCAATGGAAAGCACGACTTCTTGAAGCTCGGCTACTTTATCGTCAAGAACCGAGGTGCAGATGACAACTTATCCACAATTTCAGCACGTCTGGAAGAGGAAAAGTCTTTTTTCATGGACCCTGCTTGGACGACCGTTCATGATCGATGTGGAACAGACTCCTTGAGAGCCTGCCTGCGAGAGCTTCTCATGGATATTTCCCAAGACGAATTTCCTCAAGTAAAGTCTGAGATCAAGCAACGCCTGTGTCAAAAAAATGAATTGCTACAGAGGATGGGACCCTCGAGAGCTGATCACACATCACAAAGGCTGTACTTGAGCAAATTGGCAACACAATTCCAGATCATTACCCTGTCAGCTCTAGAAGGACACTACATGAGGGACGAGATACTCAGAAAAGAGCCGAATCTCAAGTTGGCGACGAGAATGGTGAAACTGAACGAGAGTTTTGCCAGCATCTTCTGGCAGAAGGGTCATAAGCGTGCTTTTGGCCCGGAACAGGAGGACGAAGGAGAAAGCTCGCTCAGCCGCAACATCGACGACTTCTACCTCAAATTTCCTCTGCAGAAGTACCGCGAGCTTTCCCACATAATCAAAGTCAACGAAGACGACTGTCCCGAGCCAAAATCGTCGGAACAATCAATAATTGATCATATCGAGCACGTGTATGAGTCAAATCGGGGACCCGAGCTCGGAACAGTAAGTATTTGTGGCCTGAACGTTGATGTCTGATATGCTTAAACTTCTTTAGTTCGGAGGAACAATCCTCTCAATCGTTTTCCGCGAACAGTCGGAGAAATGGAAGACCCTTACTATCTCGCATACAAGCAAGGCCATTGCTGTTGTTCACGATTACATCTCCAGCCTGCTAGCCAACTTATGCCACGAAGAGCAAGTCAGAACTCGCATTTGGGACCTGCTGGTCGACAAGTTGTGTGATGCCTACCAGCGTGCATTGGACCATGCTTGCTTCCTGCTTGAAATGGAACGAGGAATGCGACCAAATACTTTCAATCATTACTTCAACGCGAATCTCCAAAAGAAGCGCAACGATCGATTGTTGAAGAATCTCAAGCCGCTATCGGAAAAAGTCACGTTCAATTCGGGCAAGGGCAGCGAGTATAGTGTGGACTACATTCCGGTCAGCAAGCTCAAAGGCCATGCAATTGACAAGGATAATGCGCAACAGGTCCGTGAAGACATTCTTGACGCGTTAAGCAGCTACTATAAGGTTTCGCGAAAGAGGTTTGTTGATGCAGTATGTCAACAGGTCGTCAATCATTTCCTCCTGGAAGGCGATCAGAGTCCGCTGAAAATCTTAGGCCCAGATCTCATCAACAGCCTAAGGCCTCAAGAACTTGCATTTATTGCAGGTGAGGGCTCTGCTTCTAAGCTCCAGCGGGATTCTTTGCAACGGGACATAGAGAGCCTTGAGGCAGCAGAGGAAGTTCTGCGTGTTTAAGAATGTGACAGAAGCTTCGAAATGACCAGTGGGGAGGAAGCGCATCTTGAGATACAGTGTAACGAAAACTTGAAATCTTCGGGCTAATTGATATCTTTGTCTCTCTCTCTCTCTCTCTCTGGTTTCTGTGGGACGCGGCGTGAAAAAAAGGCTCAATAAAGAAGTCGCAGCCTCAGCCATCCTAACGACTTGAAGCTTTTGCTACCTGGACACAATTTTTTGGGCTCAAGTATAAACCCAGTGTTGCAAGGACCAACTGGATACCCATCGAATACTCTGTCCAGAGTAGACAGCCTGAAGATGGTCCTGCTTCCAAATGTTATAGCTATGTGCCCTGAGAAGATCGGGCTTTAAGAAAGGAAAGTACATCGAACACGCATAGTGTAATACTTAAAGGTCCACCTACATGGGTATTCTGGTCGGAGGCAGTTAAATGATTCCAGATCGATAGATATTAGTACGGGTATAACGTACAAAGCGCCCACTACAATGACTTTTCTAGCTATTTTACAGTCAATGTTTCACATAGAAGCAAAGCTATGATCTTCTTGAGTTTATATTGAGGTACTTGGGGCGCTATCAAAGGATTTCGCACTACCATATACCCGGCTGTGTGGTTGCGAAACAGAATCACTAGGAACAGCGAGAAAGGAGGAAGCCTAGGTGTGGGGGATGCCAGGGTACCCGAAAGCAGCGTTCAGTCTTGCAATTCTATGCAGATTAGCCCAAAGGCGCTTAGTCTACGGCACATCTGACTCAATGTCTGCACACAGTACAAGCCACAGGTGGCGCACGAGATTAGTGCTTACTTTTTTCTTTTACAAACAAATATAGGCGGACACTCATTTCGATCTACCCTATATCATAGACCAAAGGAGGGTCTCTTCTAAATCCTATATAAGCCCTCACTTATATATAAATATAAGGTAGTATAATATAGAAGATAGAGGGGTAAGGTACTTTCACTTAAAAGTATCCAATATATTACTTTAAAGTAAACACTACCATTACTATTAACTTATTACCCTTAACTTTAAGGTAATAACCTTTAGTTAAGGGATTAAAAGAGCTCTACTTAAAAGGGTTAGTTACTAATAGCTATACAGCCCTTATTAGAGCCGTCCACTCTATAACTAATACCCTTAAGGCGATAAATAGAGAGAGAAAGAGAGAGAGAAATAGTAGTTTTAGTAATTTTTAGTGGAAGAAACAAAGAGAAGAGGAGGAAGTTAAAGTTAAGAGATAACCCTAAAGGCTTCTCACCTTACTTACTATATAAAGTCCCTAACTAATCTCTTAGTAATAATAGAGATTTTTTAAATATATTAAGGCTAATTAATAAATAAAAAGTATTTAAAAAAATGAGAGTTAATAATAGCTTTAAAAAAAAGAGGTATATTTACCTTCCTATCTACTAAGCACACTCTATACTAGATTTAGGTAGTGTAGTTACTTAAGGTTTAGGTATAAAGCGGTATATACTTGAAAACACACCTAGGGGATTTAGAAGAACCCCTAAAGGAGACAGACTACTGTGAGGGCGGGCTGCCGCGTGTCGTGAATCAGCAAGCTAAGATTGGGCAGTGGAACCCTGGTCAGAAACTTGGGGGGTCGAGAGGGCGTGCTGTGTGTGTGGCTTGTCGGACCCGGGAGAAAATTTGAGACCGCCCTTCCCGATGTCACACAATCTATGTGAAGTGCCTGTCACATACATGTGAGCCATAATGACGGTGTGCTGTCGCGGGGAGGGGTGGGCAGGCGTGCAGGGAGGGCATGGAGTCGGGGCCTTAGGGGGGACATGATGGATGACACGGGGGCCCTCGAAGGTTCTCGATCACGTCAGCAGGAGGAGGTGGACAACAGGAAACAAAACATCACACAAAACATCGCCAAACAAAAAAAGAATGATTATATAAAAAGTGCCGACGCGGTGCAAGGCGAGGACAGCTTGGTAGGGCTGATGGGGGACGAGGTTGTGCGACGTTGGCATCGAGATTTCTTCAACGTCAGACTCCACCCCACCAACACAAGGAGCACACCACCCGCCAGACCCGGTTAGGCTGACGACGACGCTGCTCAGTGCTGACAAGTCGACCGTGATGATGATCTCGGCGGACGGGAACGGCGGACCATGATCGAGGAACGGCGGACCATGATCGACCTCAAGGGGGCTTGCGAGGGCGGAGGGCGGAGGGCTTGACAGGCAGACAGGCAGACAAGCAGAACCAGGCCTGGCCCCATGCACACACAGTAGATACAGTATGCAAGTGAGACTGCGAGCGGGTGGCTGGCTGGCTGGCTGGCTGGCTGGTCCAAGAAGAAAGAGATGGGAGACTCGGTCAGGGAATGGTAGGGGTCAGGGTAGGGGTCAGGGTACGGGGCGACATGCAAGAAGCGCCGCACTTGCATGGGCGCTGGGCGCCCTCTTGTCTTGATCTCTCGTCTCGTTCCAGGGTCTGAGGGTCTCTGTCTGTCTCTGGTGTGGCTGCCGTGCCCGAGGTTGTATCCGGGTTGCCGGGGTGTGTTGTATGCCAGGGTTGGTAAAAAGGCAGTAATGGTGTAGTATCCGTAGTAGAATGACTCCGTGAGAGATAGAGTGACAGGGGCCAGGGCGGGCCAGAGGAATGACCGGACAGACTGACAGACTGAGACAGTCAGCTGTCGAGAAGTCGAGGCAAGCGCCGTGGGCTCCGCTCCCAGGCTCCGTGTTGCAGGCCCCCAGGCCCCCAGACCCCGGGCCCCAGGCCCTAATGTGCCCTCATGTACAGGGACGCGTGTGTGGGATGACGATGCTGGTGGATTGGATGGATGTTCCCGAGATCCTTCGGCCACGACCGCGGCGCACCTTGCACGATTGCACGATTGCACGATTGCACGATTGCGATGCTTATTTAGCACTCGCTGCCCTGTCCCGCAGTTGCCACGCACCCAGCTGCCCAGCAGGGCCCTGTCGACGCTAGCAGCCAGGCCCAGCGCAAACCGTGTGCCGTGTGCCGTGTGTGTATGGAGTATGGTGTGTGTGCGCGTGCTTGTGACCGAGGTTGATCTGTGGGGCAGTGCCTTGCTCGTGCTCGTGCTCTTGCTGGTGCTGCTGCCGTTGCTGAAAGCTGGGGCCGATGCAGGGAAGGTCTTGTGTCCACGGGGGAGGCAGCAGCACGAGGAGGCGATGAGGGATAGGGCAGGTACGGATAGTGGTGTGGTGTGGTGGACCAGCCAGCCAGCATGACCCGGCCAAGACCCTTGAGCCTTCCCACCAGGCTAGCCTACCCGGCCCCATACCACCTGCCCTGCTATCTACCTAGTGTGCCTAGTGTACTAGCTGCTCCCGTTAGCCCCCTACTAGTCTTCCGTTTCCCTCTTCGTTTCGAAAATAGCTACTTTCAAAACTCGCTCGCACCTGCCATCCCCTCAACCCATCCACCCCCCAAGATCCCCACCAGCCAGAGGCCGCGGAACGCTCCCGTTCGCTGGTCCGCCCCCCGTTACCCGCCCCCCGTTCCACCACCCCGTCTTAACCTTTCGACGGGCGTTCGTCCCTCGACTCGCTCCATTTTAAACTTTCGGAAGCTCGAGCGCGATGGACACTCGGACTGGGAACTAGCCACAACCTTAATTGGACGTCAGCCCGACTGACATTTCCGTCGCGTGGGCTTATGTGTGTGTGTGTGTGTGTGGGTCAGTGAGAGTGTGAGTGACTACGAGGGAAACTTACCCCAAGCCAGCTGAAAACTACAGATGGACAAGAAAAAGAGATCGGTTTCTTCAACAGCCGGCACGCTCTACTCAGAAAAGGGACAGCGGGCTAAAAATAATCACAAGAGACACGCAATGACATGCAGCAGCACGGGCAGAACAGCCAAGCCAAGCCCAGGCAAGGCAAGGCAAGGCAAGGCAAGGCAAGGCAAATCACCCATGCCTCTCTTGTCAATCTTTGATGCCGGTGACGATCTCCCCCCCTCGGAGCGCACGAGACTCGCTACGTTGTGCCGTGCCTGCAGCTGCGTGGCCCACCCTAAAATGCAACCTTGAAGTCCCGCACCGAGGGGGGGGGTGCTTGGAACCGGGGGGGGGGTTGCTTATCTCGGCCTCGAACTTCCAGCACCAGCTCCAGCACCAGCACCAGCAGCCGCCGTCGCCCAGACAGGGGCCGCCCGCCCGCCCCCCTTTTCCATCACCCTCTCCCCTAAGTTCAGCGCTCTAAGCAAAAGGACCCGAGCCACCGAAATAGTGAGCCCGCTCGGCCATCTTGCCCCAGTCATTTGGAAAATGAAGTTTTGGATGAGGGGATGAGGACGGGGAGGGGATCGCTGGTCTCGCCTGGCTCGGTCTGGTCAGGCCTATCTCTCCCCCCTCTTTGTCTGTCTCTCTCTCTCCCTCTTGCAGTTCCGCCTTAGCCCTCGGGTTCCCGTCCCGGGGGGGGGGGGGCGTGTGCTGGACGTCGTGCTTGCATTGTGGGGTGCGCTCTCAATCGCGGCCTGGTGGTGAGTGTAGCCATGCAATTCGCCTTGGATCTTTTTTTCAGCCCCCAACAATAGTCCCCACTTCACCGCCGTCCTCCTGTTCCTTCGATTTCTATGCAAGGAACACGGGACCGTGGGCAGACCAGACGCTCAATGCAGAGGGCCAATGGTGAGTGGCACTCGTATTCACCTTCCCTCCCAGCCAGCCTCAACATCGCACTATGTTGTGCCCTGCCGGGGAGCTGTCAGAATAACAAGCGTACTGGGGCCCGTTCGGATCACTGCTCCCGAGCTGGTCGGTAGATGGCCAACAGGTTCCACAGGCACAACGGCCGTGGGGCGCGTTTACTGTGTACAATCGGGCACGGTCTCTCTCATGCACGCAAACCGTCTCTCCAGTAGCACAGTCATGCTTTTGAAAACAATGGTTCTGCCGGCAAGAAATACAGCAGCCCAACGTCATACTTGAATCTTGAATCTCGCATCAAGGCCTCGGGTGTCCCTCGTACGTTACATGCTGCCAGAAAAGATTTGTGTGTAAAGTGCAGCGAATCAACAAGTACAACAAAGATAGAATCCCTCCATGCGAGACCTGCCAAGATGTTTCTGTCGTCGAAAAGGGGTTTGCGGCTTCGATGGGAGGGAGGTGTTATGATGCAAAACGACAACTCTTCAGCCAACGCTCCAAGCCGAGCCAGGCGAAACGAGCGGCGAGGAATCGCCAGGATCAAGCCGTCCGCTTCCGTAGCTATCATCCCCCCACGTGCGCGACTCGTCCAAAAGCCTCATCCATCTCGTGTCCTTCGTCACCGTATTCTTCGTGTCCGCCTGGAAGCGAATGTTGGTGCTCTGTGCGGATGAGCCGTGTTGATGGAATTGATGTTGGGGGTGGGGGTGGTAAATCAAACGGGTATTTCTCGCAAATGCCATGCCCTTCTGTCCCATTTTCCCAAGTGCCCATTTCCTGTCCCAGGTTCCTGATAAAGAGAAATAGCCCCGTTGATGCCCTGTCTTTCCAATGGCTCCTTGCTCCTACATATCCCAGGCCGACCCATACGCCATTAAAATCCATCGGACCAGACCTGCCCTGATGTCGACTTAGCAAACGACACAAGAAAAAAAATGACAAGGTTCGTTTCCCAGGTAGTTTCCTTTTCCCAGATATATTCCGCTGCCCCTGTTCCAGGTATCCGGTTCAGGGAACTCAACTCAGGTCAGGTCGTTTACGCGTGGCATCGCCCGTGAGAAAAGTGGCGCTGTTGGGCCCAGCTCTGCCCCTCAAAGTGCTATGCAGCTAGTATTGTCAAAACCATTTGTCTTTGAGCCTCAGGCAATCCTGCCTTCAGTGAAGACCAACTGCTGATGTCTGTGGTGGAGGCATCATCTGTGGGTAGTAGCCGTTCGAGGTGGACTTCCCTTCGTATCGTCCACAGGCCCCACCCCTGTCGGAGAACAGAGGTCCCGGGTATAGCTTCGAAGTAAGATCGAACCCACTTCCCATTCTCAGGGAATTGTCCGACGGCCTCGTGGTAGGGGTGTGATGGAACATCTCAACTGGTTGTCGAGGGTCGTGTTGAGGCTCGATGATAGCTGTCGGGTAGTACTGATACTTCTCGGGCTCGTGTACCGCCTTGGACTCTTCCGGGTTGAGTATGGGCTCCATAGGGATCGCCTCGTGGTGGGTGCGATAATGGTCCGGCCGCGTGTCGTAAGCGGCCCCGTAACCGCCCCCAAGCATGTTCGCATTTGGTCCCGCATACCCGCCCCCAATCATGGTTGAGCCAGCGCCGGTGTAGCCGCCCATACCGCCAGCCGAACCACCAGGCCCGCTGCTCGTGCTCGCTCTTCGCTCGGATTGGTAGTGTCCCGGCGACCTTCCACGAACGATCATCTTGGACGACTTCCTGTGCGCGACCTTGAGCCATTGATCATTTCCCTGACCCTGGGATCCGATATCTGCAAAGAGCTCGACGACCAGGTGGTAGTATTGTTGTGCCGCCCTGCGCTTCCCGTTGTTTGCTGTGGCCTGCTTGAACTGGATCCGCTCGAAGGTGTGTTCCGTCGGGAGCGAAGGGTGAAGGGCGGTATGCGGCAACGGCTGACCATACATAGACTGTTCATAGGCCCTCGAAGACCCTCCAAGCCCCATTTCTGTCTGCGCGTAGTGACCCAGCGGATGGTGCGCCGTCTGGGGAGGCTTGGGGTTCAGTCTGGTCTTTTCCGGGGGCGAGATGGGGCCTTTGTCCCGCTTCGGGGTGTGTTGCACCAATTCAATCGTGTGAGCATCATTCTCAGATACGACTGCCGAGATACACATGGCCCAGCCAGCAACTTGGTACGCCTGGCTGGACCCAGATGGCGTGAAGTGGAGGCTAGCCTGAGGGTGTGTCGACGGAGGGAGGTTGAATGAGCAAATACACGAGAAGTAGTTTCGCCGGTAACATGTCCACTCGCCTTCGGCCAGGAAAAAGCCTTTGTCGATTGTGCCAGAGATCTCCGGCTTCACCTGAGTGTTCGGGGCGTCCGAGTAATAGAGCACGCCGTGCATTGTCAACCCCATTAGTGGGGGGACGGTCGGCTGCTGCTTGGAATTGTACGAGGGATCCATCTGGCGATGGCTGATAGTACCTGGATGATTGGTGAGACACACGTTAGGGCTTTGGGTTGGTGGCATAGGACTGCGTCGGTGCGCACCTGGGAATGACGGAGATCTCGGTGTGTGCTCGGGTGCTCTCCTAAAAGAGGGCGTCGCTGGCGTATAGAGATCTCGCGTGGCTGGATGCGGCAATGTTGTGGATCGAAGGGCATGTGCCATGCCCGGGGTAGAGGTGCTACTCTCACGCAGGCTGTGAGTCAAGATGTCCAATGCGGATCGAGGAAAGGAGTGGACAGTATGGTCAGAGAGAAAAAAAAAGGAGCTACTTAGTAGTTGGCGTGCTTTCGTACCTGGAGCCAAGGCGAGACCTCGGGTCTATGTGTGGGAAGACGTGAGAGGTTGGAGCATAGAAGGAGCCCCCACTGTCGGGTGGATAGGCCGGTGCTGAGTTGAAGAGGGACGTGTGGCCCGGAGGATAGAGGTTTATGACTGGTGACGGTTGAGCTGAACTTTCCAGTGTCAAAGGGGAGGTACTGGAGTCGTGACTATAGCTACTGGCGCACACATATCAGCAAGGCTGCCCAACAGTCCAACGCCAAGTGATCGCTGTTAGCGTCTTCTAGAAAAAGCCTGCCACCGAGTATAGATGTTGTAACTCGTTGCCCATGCGGACGCAACACAATGCCAGGCCAGGTGAGACAAGTTGTCGTACTGCCAGCTAAGAATGTTGCACAGGTAACAGCAGACTACAGGATCGGGGATGTCTGCTGCGAACACCATATGCGGTAGCAAGCGGAGGGGTCTAGACGACCTAAGTAGCATTTTCCCACGCTACGGAGGGCTGGAGACTATCCTTGCCATGCGCGCGCAAAGTCGTGAGTACTGACCACAGACAAGGGACGGGGGGGCCGGGGGGCGAGCAGGATTGGCTGCCTGCACTCCCTGCTCATGGGCCATCTGCGGGCTGCTTTGTGCCTTTTGAGGAATCGACAGGGGCAGCGAGGCACTTCTCAACACACCGAGGATTTTCGATCCTCCCACCCCTGTCGGTTGACATATGCTCAACCTCGACGGGCGACGGGTGAGGGAAAGCACTTTGGTGGCGGTGGACACTGTCCAACGTGGGGATGAAAGGAACCAGGGGGCGGGGAGCTTAGGTCGCCCATGCTCGCTGCTTGTCAGGGCCCAGAAGTATTTGGATAAATGTACTCACCGCATATCAGATTGATTGGGCAAGTCGAGGTACTCCAGCCCGGGACAGGAGGGCGACGCGAAATCCTGCTGGATTGAGAAAGAAGTGTTAGGCTCGGCGGCAAAGCGACTGAGTGAGGAGGCGCATGAATGAAGCACAGCAGAAAGGGTAGCTCCGCGGCGGCTCTACATATTTGTTGACATCATGTCCGGGTCGTTGCCAGAAGGTCTGGGTGCACGGTAGCGAGGAAGAAGCCGGGCTGGTGATGCGCGTGCCTGCTGCCCGTCACAGCTCAGGTTAGCTATACAGCACAAACTTAAGGAAATCCACGAAGTAAGCCAAGCCGGCAAAGAATCCAGGATGGAAAAATGAGAGGGGAAGACGGGGGTAACAAGACAACGTCTGCAGTGTAAGAATGCGAGGCTTTGGCTTTTGAGGGTGAAGGCAGAACAAGCCCGACCCCCGAATTCGAGGTTAGGCTGTGGTGTGTGAGAGAGAGGGAGTGTGTGTGCCCGCTGCACCCTGCAGTACAGTTACCGCAGGATACAACCAACGACATCTGACCCCGGCGGCGCGGAGGAGTATCGGATACATGAGCTGACGGGGCGCCCCAGGCTTATTCCCATGTACAGGAGACTCTCGCTGTCTCACGGTGCATGTAAAGCTGCAAGCCCGCCGATTCCGCTAGCCATTTTTTGATTGGGAAGAGGAAAAAAGGCCACAGCCAAGACACCAGGTCGGGTGCAGATGTCATTTTGCACAGGAAAAGTAGCATGTTGCCAGCGATCTCTGCCGCGATGGCCTCGAATTTGCGAGCCAGAAGCCGTCCGATTCGCACATTCTATTTCAAGCAGAAGCTCGGGTCGCAAGCCTGCCGGAATTTTCTGCACGCGGGAAAAGAATGGAAGTGAATGCCGAGTTTGAGACAGGCAGAAGAAACACGAATTTGTGTTATGGGCTGACATACTTCGTGGGGACTGGACTCACTTTCTGAAACCTTATGGGTTTGTCTCCATAGGCCGGTTCTTCGACTCACGCAGCAATTTTGCCAGGCTTCTTTCCCACGACCGAGCAGCCACGCCCTTGGATGACGACACGTTGTCTGCCATACGGCTGGGGAGCCTGCACCGCGGAGGCGTGTTGCAGATCTTGCCGTGCGGATGATCCTGCACGGCGAAGCCCGTAACAGCGCAAAGGGGTCGCCCTGAATAATGGACCATGCAAGCCTTCTGGGGCATGCACGGGGACGTCGGGAGTGGGGCGGTGGTATTCTAGCAACGTATGTGTGGAATTGTTAGAGGGGGGCAGTAAATACCTTGGGAATTTGTGAAGTCATGCGAGGTGCCTCTCCACGATCCAGAGAGGAATCGTTTCGCAGGAGGCAGTCGATGGGGTCGAGCTGGTAGGGTGCCTATCTTACCCCCATCGCGTGGGGCTCAATGTTAGCTTAGATGCTCTTGCTAGGGATCGCTGCAGCTGCAGTGGGTGTTAGTGCCTCCAGGGGTGGCTTGACGTGGGTCGGAAGAGACAGAGCCTCCATAATTTGGAAGTCTGCACCCCTTCGCCAACCAGGGCCTAGCTGGACAGCGGGAAGTCTCCTCCTCCTGTCAGATGATATCTGGGCCGCATGAGCCAATGCACAAGAGCGGCACGGCAACGCAGGCGGAGTCTTGGGCAATGTGCTCGTCTGCTAGTAACGTGCTGACCGACCTTAAGAGGTATTTCTGCCCTTGTCATTCCTGATGACCGAATGGCACTCGCGCTCAATGTTGTCGGAAGTCTCAGCTGTCCTGATTGAATGCGACGCGTCAGCGTCTCTTCCAGTTGATATCACAAGCGTTCCTGAATCTCAAAGAATGATTTCCTTATGCCCCCTGGCAGGGCAGTGTTGGGGTCGAAAAGAGGCAGACAGGACCGGGCGTGTCTGGAAATTGACTATTTTATGTGGGTGGAGGGCACAATCAAACTCGTCGGTGCCCAGTACAGACTGCGAGAGGCTGCAGAAGAGTCTGGCTCGGTAGGCCGGATGGATGTTGGGGATGTTTCGTAAGTGTTGACATCGCTGCCAACATAAATACGACCTTTCTGGAGATTGCGCCGCACTTCGTCTTTCGCATCGAAGAGGATGATGGGCTGCGCCGTGTCGTATCGCGCCGCGCTTCCTCAGCTCAATAACTCCATACCGGCGTCTCAAAATGCTGGGCTCGCCCGCCGCTCGGGATTCACCCTCGTCGAGGTTCGAGTCCGAGACATGGGGAAAAAGAAACGAGGGCAGCATGCACGTCGATGAAAACGGTGAAGAAACAGCACTAACATGTATGTCGGAGTGGGTCCTAAACAAGCGTTAGCTTCCATCTCGCAGTTGCTTCCAAAGAACGTTGCAACTGAGTACGGCGTCTCCAGCAAACGGGCTTCTGGCCAGAACAAGCAAAACGTGCCGAATTTGCAAAGGCCTTCCTACGACGACGCCATGCTTTCTCCATGGTCGAATCGCACGCCGAAAGACTTAGGCGACAACGGGGGTGGGCCACAAAAGGTATCGACTTGTCAAACATTCATCACTGCTGCCCTGCCCCTTTACCAGTTTCGACATCGACGTTCACCCTGCAGCATAGGCAGTGGCGGCCTCTCCAAGCTCTAGGAACAGCAGCAATGCCGCAAGTGGTATGTCCTGCTTCAACAAGGTGATATAATCAAAGGTCTGGAATCGCTTACTTCCAAGAATGCCTTCACACTGAGAGGTTGGTGAACTTGCTTGAGGGCTGATGCGTATAGTAGCAGGGGTTTCGTTTGCGAGGCAGTAGACGGCCTGCAGCGCAGTCTCTGTTTCGACACAGCAGACCAAAAGGAACAGGCAAGAGCTTGTTGTGGAGCCGCGAGGCGTTGTGGAGTGGATGCTTGTTCCGGTGCACCTGGGCAGTGATTTCCCTGGCGTTGGTCGATTCGGCTGGCCCCTTCGTCGCTGCCGTGCCTGGAGTTGGGTGGGCGGCAACTGCGTTGGTTGGCAGCTTCCTACCCTGGTTTTGCAGGTAGTTCAGGCTGGGAAAAACCAGAAATGCCGTTCTGACTGGCCTAAGTGGGCAAGCTGAAGTGTTGCAGTCCCCAGTTCTGTCACCTGTTTCGGGGCGAGGGCTGGTTGGGAAAGTCGCTGTTGGCCCCTGATCTCAGATTAATCTCTGAGGCAGACAGGTAATGTTGGTCAACAGGTACCCGCTGAGGAGCAATTAATGATGCTTGCTGCAGGATCGTGTGTCCACCACAACAGGGAGGCCGTAACCAGTATCACTCTCAGAGTGTACAAGATCTGATGTAGCGTGTTTGGGTCGGTATTAGGGTGATCCAATATGTTGGGTATAATCTGGTTAGCTTGTAAAGGTGATGGATGGTGGATGGACGGTCGGCCAGCTTGGGCGAGCCGACAAGTCAGAACGGGGTGCAGCCGGTGGTTGGTGAGGTGTGATGTGAGGCAACGCAAGGTGAAGCACCTATCTCAGTTGGCCTCCTGTTACCCTGGCACAGTGGCTTGACAGGCTCGCACAGGCTCGGAGGCTGGTAGTGGGAGGCTCAAAAGAAGGAGTACAAGTGATACAGGATCAGGTAGGAGGGTGCCCTGGTGACTACACACACGCGCAGACAATCGAGGATGTGTTCCGGGTAAGAGAAGAGCTGGGGGGGTTGGAAATGGCCTGGAGGGACTCGAGATGTCTGGTGCCTGCTTGCGACGGGGGGGCGAGAACCGCGTGCCTTCTTAAACTCGAGGCAGATCGGTTGTGCAGACTTCAAGACAACGCCAACAGCGCACGAGGGGACAATTTTGTGGAGATGGGTGAGCTCGAGCCTCGTTGAGGTCGATTCTTATTTCTCTGCGAGTCCGATTTTGGCAAGGTGAATTTGTGCAGCGAAGGATGAAGGGCCAGCCGTGGGCCTTGTGGTTGTACCATCCCAGCCCGGCCAAACGAGCAGATTGAGAGACAGACAGGCAGAACAGACAGGCAGAGCGTGTGTGTGCGTGCGTGCCAGGGGGAGAGAGAGAGAAAGAGGTGTGGGGGGTACCGCTCCAGGTTGCTGCGTTGACACTGATGCTTCGCAGTCAGGGAAGCTGGTACTGGGAGTTGAGTACCTTTGCCTTTGGTCGGCCAATGTATTGTCACCATGGCCATGTATCAGGGTCAAAGCCTTTTCCAGCGGACGACTCCAAGCCTCAACTCGTACCAAGTCCCGTGCGTGACAATCAAGCAAGGAGCCGCCCGTCCAGTACCCAGGCGAGCCTGCTCTCTGGAGCCAACTTTGCAATCAAACGGCTCACTCGCATCCGTCTTCGCCCCAGGATGCTCGTTATTGTCTTGCCCCTTCACAAGGAGGTCGGCCAGGCACGAGTGGATTGCTGGAGCATAGCCTCTCGTCCCAAGGGCTTCCAGCAGGCCAGTCTCGCGGTGGCCCTAGCCTGGGGCAACAGGCTCTGAGGTAACAAAGTACGGGGAGCAACCGTTTTCGTGGGTATTTGAGCCGGGGAAGTGATAATATCACCCACCCTCCCTGTGCTCATAAAGGATAATGGGACTGTACCTGAGGCGCCCCGAGCTGCGGGCTGGCCGCCGAGTAACAACTGGTACCGATGGCACAGCGCAATTGCCAGTCGCAACCCTGCTGGGACTGAGACGGTGTTTTCGAAACATTCTGCTTCCATGCATCAGAGATGCACCTACCCTACCGTTGAGACATGTTCTCTACCACACGCCACGGGCTCTCCCTCTGATAGGGTAAAGATCTGCCCGGCCAGAGGTTGGTCTAGCGACGGGTAGCTGCAGCGAAACTGACAGTCTTTGCACGAGCACAGGCTGGTCTCCGCGAGTTAGATTGACAGTGCCTGGCCTTGGGAGGGTCTATTGTCGTAACGGCCTGGCGTGGTATGGTCTGGCCTGCTCCCCGTTACTAGTCCGTCTCTGAGCATGACTGCACTTACCGAGCGATCGGCCTCTGAACGAGACCAGTGACGCCTGGCGGGAAATCGGCCGCAGCGATGATAGGATGCAAGGACGGGACTGGGTGCAGCTGATGCCGTCTCTCGCTTGCGTCAGGCGTCGAGTTGACAGCTAACCACCCACCGGCAGAGCCTGAGGCGAGACGGCCCAGCACGAAGGCCTCACACGAGCGTCTTTGGCCTTCGGCCCCGAGGTCATCCCATATTCCGGCTCGGTGCTTTTCCTGGCTTGACAGGTTCGGCAACGGCCGATCATGAAACTTGATGCTGTGTCAATGTACTCCACGCCAGTGGGATCAGTGTCTCTGCGTAACCAACCCGGGCACTTCTTCGGCTTGCACGTGAGCGGCTTGCCTAGAGCCCGCCCTAAAAGTTGGGGCCGGCTAAGATGATAAAAGTCTAGCATGTCCCAGTCAATGGAATGCGATGTTTCCCGAGCGAGGCAGGCGAGGATGCGCCGCCTAGCGCACCGTTTGCCTGCGCCGGTCGCTTACTGCCCTTGTTAACGTTGGCGCCAGCACTGCCGATGAAACGGATCTCGGGAACCATCCTGCCCCAGTAGGCTCTAGGCGCTGAGCCAGTAAGATGACAACTGCCTGGACCCCAGCACGCAGGCAATGACAGGGTGAGCCGGGGGCCAGTGCGTCCTCTCGAGGGGTGAAGCACTGCAAAGGATTCTGGATGGGGGTCATCCA